CATAACAGGGAATAACAACAGCAGCACGGTTAAATCTACTCGGCAAACTCGTTGTCAACATCAGGTGTTGAATAAGGGACCGTCAATAAATTACCGGTTGATGTTCCCAGAAAAAGCTGTTTTCCTTCAATAGCTTCCATGTCATGTGACCAAAAGACCTAAAATTGATTTTAAATGATAATACTTATGTCGACACACATTGTTTGATCAGTTTTCAGTTCTTTTTGTGCTCCTTACTTTTTAACTGAGGAGCACATGCTCTCCTATTATAAAAGGTTAGTGTCAAGCCCTGCCACCTCTAATCACCTCACACTTGAGGATAATCCGATTAGATAATCTTGAGATCCATCTGATAATCAGGCCTTTGCTGACTTTGATTAGAAGAGGGGAACCGGCCTCCTTTTGGGGTCCTGTCCTGCCTTTGGAGACTCCTCCACTTTCCCGCCATTCCCATTTTGACAGGAACAACTGCAAAATTTTAAAAGCAGACTTGGTTTAAAAAAAGCAACTTCTGTCATCCCATTCATGACAGCGCACAGAGGATAAGAAGCAGCAACTCTTGAGTTATGCCTGCTTGGCGACTATGACGCAGTGACCGATATGAGTGATGTACGATCTGATTGTAGGCAGATACCAGGACTGAGTGGTGTCCTGAGATGGCTTTTCTTTTTATGGGCCATCTGAGATCTCTGTGAGCTTCAGAGAAATCAAACAAGAGAAAAGAAAAGTAATTCTCTCTAACTATAGTGTGCCGCAGCGCTGTCATTACAACATGGATTTCTATCAAGTCTGGCTGAAAAACACGGAGATGGCGAGTTTAAAGTGTTCTCAAGCGGCAACCCATTACATGCACGGAGCAGCATTCATCAAAAATAACCTGCAAACTTACATTAGCATTAAAACACGCTCCCTCCCTCAAGGTGACACACACAGATGCGACCTGTTGCTGTGTTTTTAAGCACACTGGGTTTTTGTGTGCAGCATCTTAGCCGCATGAATGACAAGATCCCCAGAAGGGACTTCATGCTCCAGCAGGCCCAGGTGCTGCGTTCAGGGTGGATGGTGTCAAAAAAAGGCGCAGCGGCTGTCTGTGCCCCTCTCTGCTATACAAGAGCAGAGGAGGATGACCCGCACAGTGAAGGCACAAAACAAACTAAATAAAACCTCTGAAAAGTGCCCCGAGTGCAAGAAGGCAGGCTGTGGAAAAAACACACAGTCTGGATTTTTACAGGAGGAACATGTTGAATCAAATGTGCAAATTCAGACTCTTTGCACACTTTTAATGCACAAAACGTCCAAATAGTCGATGCATGCAGAATATTTTGGCCAGTGCTGAGACCCTTTTATGAGTGATATTCATGGAGACAGAGCAATGGCAATAAATACAGGTTCCTACTCTCATCAACATAACTCCATCAGTCAGCTGAGGCGCCACCAGCTAGCACTAGCACAGCTAACCGAGCTCCTTAGCTTACAGCATCAACAGTTAAAGGTGACTTTGCAGAGCGAGGTTACAAAGAGTGAGCCTGAGCAGCTTGAGGATATTTGAGGAAAAAAAAAATATTCCTTCTTTGTTGTGAAGTTGAAAAGTTGCCCTCTAACTGTAGTCAGTATAGTTCAGTGCAGAAATACTCTACCCTGGTGAAATAGTGGCTGATTGAACACTGTTAAGTCCAATTTTGGTTCTGATTTTAAGACAGGAGCTTGTTGTTCTCGAAGGCCACTTTACTCCATCCCTTTTGGCATCTACAATCTTGGATCAGTCCTCTTAGCTTAATAGAAAAGTTCCTCTTTGATTCATGGGTTGTTGTTTTTGAAAATCTCCTGTCTTCTGTGTCACAAACGGTGTTCCCCAGGGCTCAATATTGGGTCCCTTTCTGTTTTCTGTTTAAAGCACCTTAATGCAGAGTTTCGCTGTTACGCCGATGACACCCACTTGAATTACAGCAATCACAGCAGTCTAATAATACATTTCGAACAGTCTGGTTGAGCTTGTTTCAGTATAATATGCTCTTATTTACATTTTCATGGTCAAAAGTTGTAAAAGGTACCGAATAACTGAGCTGTACCATCCTACTTCTTCACTGTACCGACCCATTTGGTGGAAAAACACCATAACCCGACTCTCTGCATGACTCATCAGTATCAGCCACCCCCTTAAAATAAACTCATGACAAAACAACTACTGCTAAATATTCTACAGTAAACCTGCAGCAGGGTTTCTCAGGTCCCTGGAGCCTGAAAATGGTCCGGTAAAATGTTTCGGTACAATTGGTCAATTTAATTCAGAGCACAGGCTCAGAACTTAAACTGGGCTACTACATTTTTTTCCCTGATATATATTCCTTCAAAAGTAAGAGTCTAGATTTGATCAGAAAGCTGCTGCCCTGCATTTAGTGCCTGACTCTAGAGTAAAATTACTCAAGGACTAAATGAAAGGTGTCAAACATTTCATGTCCACTTTTCCCCCCATGGTCCAGCATCTTAACCATCTATTTCTGCTTACTCCTCCAAGCTTTAGTTTGTAATCTACTTCCTCTTCCGTCCTCAGGCCAGGTCATCAGCTCAAACAGTCTGCCAACACCGTGTCCTCAGACTCACAGAAGTTTTACACCACGTCCTCCATCTCAGAGACTTTTTACACCGTGTCCTCTATCTCTAAAGGTTTTATTGCCGTCCTCTCCTCGGCACACAGAGTTCTTGGGTGGAGCTGCAAAACAAAGTCCTCTTGATGATAATTACAGTCAGTGTTATTTGTTTGTTGGACCTCTAGTGATTTATCTCCCCTGAATGCTTTTGATTCATCACGGCTTCAAACATTAGATTAATTCCCTGCTTTGGCAAGCAGCCTGCCAATTATATTTAGGGTCAACTATAATCAGCACAACACTGTTGTGCTTTTGTGTGGATTAGATGAGAAGCGTGTCATTAAACAGGACAACAGAGGCCGGTCCAATGACCCAATCAGGACGGCTCTCCTGCAGGACTGCTTTAATAAATTAAAGTCGAGGCCACGTAAAAAGTTTCTCCAAACCCTCCCAGGCCATCAAGTCTAGTCTGGAGGTTTTCCTTTGGCGCTAATGGCTCCATAACTGAAAATAGATTTATTATAAGTCCAGAGGAGCTGAAATCCAACAGTAAATTTAGTTTGATTTTAATGGACCAGTCTGTTCGGGCTCACGCAAAAAGAAGAGCTCCAAGCCCCATCAAGTTTTGAGAGCGATGCTGGCAGATGCTGATGGTGGATTAGGGGGGAACCAAAACTAATGGCAAATTAGGAGGAAACCCGGCAAAATGAAGTGGAAGAAAATTCACTTTAATGTGGAGGCACGTGTGTGCCAGAGTATTATATAAGGCAAGAGAAGACAGAGCCAGAAACATTAAGTCTGGATTTGTGAGGAATAACAGAGTTGAGTAATTTTTTCTCATGGGAAAGAAAGTAAAATGATGAGGAGGTGAAAATAATAAAAGAGGGGAAAATGTTAACATAGAAAGTCATGATAAGAGAGAAAACCGTAGTTATGAGAAATTATGAGAAAATAGTCTTAATTATGAGAAAGTAAAGTCTTAAACTATGAGAAAATAAAGCTTTAATTATGAGAAAATAAAGCTTTAATTATGAGGAATTAAAGCCTAAAATATGATAAAGTAAAGTCTCATTCATGAGAAAGTAAAGTCTCATTCATGAGAAAGTAAAGTTTTAATCATGAGAAAGTAAAGTTTTAATCATGAGGAAGAAAAGCCTTAAATATGAGAAAGTTAAAGCCTTAGATATGAGAACATTAAGTCTTGATTATGAGAAAGTAAAGCCTTAAATATGAGGAAGTTATGAGAAAGTAAAGCCTAAATTATGAGAAAGTAAAGTCATTATTATGAGAAAGTAAAGTCATATTCATGAGGAAGAAAAGCCTTAAATATGAGAAAATAAAGCTCTAATTATAAGGAAGTAAGTCTTAGTTATGAGAGTAAAGCCTTATGAGAAAGTAAATTATGGGAAATCAAGTACTCATTATAGAAAGTCTTAATTATTAGAAAGCCCACAATTTTGAGAGAATAAAGTTGTAATTATGAGAGAAAAAGCCTTGATTATGAGGAAAGAGAGTCTTAATTATGAAAAAGTAAGTCATAATTATGAGAGAGTTAAGTGTTAATTATGAGAAAGTAAATTCTCAATTATGGGAAAGTAAACTTGTAATTATGAGGACATAAAGCCTTAATTATGTGGAAGTAAAGCTTAAGTTTTAAGTAGTTAAGTCATTATGAGAGAGTAAAGTCTTTATTATGAGGAATATTTGGGGTTTCTTCTGGTGTATTTCCTTGTCTCTCACATGTTAGTTTATAAAAATGTTTCATAAAAAGTACCAAATATCGCTTCTACAAGTGCGTAGGACCTTCAAAACAATCTTAGAGACATTTTAACCACAGAAAAAAAGTTATTTATGTGACTGAAATAGAGCGAGTGTGCATTTATCTGCCTCCATATGTGAATCCTGGTTGCTCTATCACGTCCTGAGAACCGCTCAGTCCTCGGTCTGCTCTGCCCTTTTCAGCTGCAGATGTAAGAACTCCTGTTGTTTGACCCGGTTCAGTCTGCAGCTCAGTGTTTCCTGCTGCTGAGGAGCAGACGGAGGCTCACGGCTCATAAAGCAGCATGAGAGATTTGATTTCTCTGTCTTCAAAGTAAGGCCTCACCGTCACATGATCCTGCAGCTCACCCACGTTATTAGAGATCGAAGCGGAGTCCAGTTTGTTGACAGTCAGGAGATAAATCTCAGCGTCTGTCTCCATCTATTTGCTTCAGTTACTCTCTGTAAGATTATTTCAAACAGAGAAGCAGAAAAAAACGCTCTGCGCTGTGAGTTAGAGAATCATTTTATTATCCAGTTCATCAGGATTCAGTGGAGAACTGAGGATGAACTCAGGTTTACTAAGTTCCCTCTCTCTGTGATCGGTTCAATCCAAACAGCATTTCTTCTTCCCTTGGTCACCTAAAGTATCAAGAGGAGTTTATGAATAAAAATGAGAGAGAAGCATGAAGGCAAAGGGGATTTGTACCTGTGTGTGGACAATGTTGAAGATTTTCTTGAAAAAGTTGCAAACAAACTTTTATAATCATAGTTTTCGTCAGCAAAATTAACGCTCCTGTGGCGTTGTCAAAATGTCGCCTCATTTGAACCTCAAAAAACCAAAGCTGTCTGCTGCCCTGTGGGTCCAGCACCTCCAAAAGGATGGAGAAAAAGGTCTGATAGAAAGGGAGTAAGGTGTGCACCCACATTCATATAAAATAATTGAATACTTTGATCCACCTCCCCTAGCATTGAGTCTTTGCATTAGTCTTATGTCCGTCTCCAGCCTCGGTAAACACAGATTTCGACATAAAAAGCTCCATCAGGATAAAACAAACTGTGAAATATAAATGGAGTTTTCTACTGTTGCAAATATTCTGTTTGCTGAGAGAAAACTTTCTCAGTCCAGCACTTTATCTGTGTGTATTTTTCACTCAGTAACTCTATTATTTTTTCCATCCGCCTGTCAGCTGGTGGAGCCGGTGAAAATAGTAGAACAGAAACAAATCAATGCAGGACAGAGCGGCGAAACTCGGTTAGGATTGGCTGGGCATCACCTCTCATCTGTACTCTATTATCATTCAGCCGGTCTCCAAACAAACACGGGCTCCTTTAACTGTCCCTCTGCAGGAGATAGACTTGAACACCACATTCACACCGCCATCAAGAAGTAAATACAGCTCGCCATCACTCCAGCCTCCTTACACGCCGCATTTTTCATCGGCCTTGCAGATAAGCTCGCCTGGGATTGCTTCTTTTGCAGCCCCTTTTCACTTGCCTGCTCTCCATCACACATTAAGCAAAGTCATGATCCAGCTGGGGTTTCTACTGGAGCTCTTGGCCTGAAAAGATGCTAACCCACAGAGCGGTATTTCAGGCTGACACGTCGCCCCCGGTGCCATAATCAGGGGGCTCCGTCAAGCCAGGCAGCTGGTGTCAGAGCTGGTCCTTCATCCTGAAACACTCAGCATTTGAATGCGTCCTTAAAACAAACATGGTTTTGAAATTCAAATGCGGGAAAACACCTGGTACATGGCAGTTGTCAATTACAAACCAGCCAGTGGATCATTAGTGAAATTACTCGTCTAAACAGAGATGAAAGAGCATTTTCATGATAAAACCACCACGTCTCAAACATGGGAGCACATTAGGCTCAAAAATGGAGCACATGCAGGTGCAAATGTTTGTGTGCAAAGGTACAAATTTGCATGGGAATACCAAACCTGTTCAAAGGGATACTTTGATAGTTTAAAAATAAGAGGCTGGTATATTTAAACTTTCCTGAGCTGTATGAACGTGATTGCAAAATGATACAAGTTCAGATACCGCAACTACATTAGAGCCTTAAGTTATGGGCTTTTATTTTGAAGGTGCCACAAAAGGCTGTGGAGTGTTTGCATTAGTGTACCTGGAGTAACTTCAGTTTTAGAGCCCTTAGACATTAAGGCTTTTATTTTAAATGTGCCTTGAAAGCTGTAAGAGGGTTTAGAAGGAAAGTAAAATTTGGTCCCACATACAGAAAAAATGAGGAGAGTAGTTGATCCTAAACTACAAAGAAAAACCTAAAAGTGGTAGTTTCCAAAACCAAAAAACACATTATTAGTGTAGTTGATCCTTGATTTGATCAGAGCCAACAGAAAAATGAGGCTTTTATTTTGAAAATGTCAGAAAAGTGGATATGTTCCCTTTTTTATGACAAATATTTTGTGAAAATCATGTAGATTGAGTTTAAATAAAATCTTTAATATCCCTTTTTATATCATTAGAGCATTTAGACGCAACAGATTTGTATTTAGAAACGGAATAAAACTTAGATAATTTAAATACATCAGAACTTTGCAATTGGGAAGCTTTTAATCTGAAACTACCAAAAAGTTAACCGAAATATGAAAATCATAAAATTTAAATGTAGTCCTTTTAAAGGGATACTTCGGTGCCACCGGATCCATGAAAGGCTTTAATTTGGGAATAAGTTGGTACTTTTAATTTGAAACTACCAGGAAATTCTGATATGTAATAAGTTTGAAATTGAGGTCAAAGCCCTTAAAAATAAAAATACTGACGTTTATGTATTCAAACTTTATTCTATTCTATTTTATTTTTTCGTGTTTTCTAAAATGTAGTTACACATCAGAGAAACTAAAATATTTAAGGTTCCTTTTTATTAAAGGTCAGAAGTCCTTTCCACAACAGAATGATTTATAACTTTTCTTCTGTATAAGGTTAATGTGGGTGCTGAAAATACAAAGTTGTGCATGTTTTTTTAACAGAGAGAGCTAAACTACTGAAATTCTTTTGACATTTCTCTCTCAGAAATTTTTTTTGCCTCCTGAGTATAACTTTTTTTTCTTTTTTTAGATGACATTTACCCCGTACAATGACTGCCAAACTCCAAAAGGACTTGAATCTCTGTGTTGACGAGTGTGCTCTCTGGTCGGTTGTCAGGTGAAGTCTTAATTAGGCCTTTAATAAATGGCAAATTCACATGAAAGGTCAGCCAGTACAGGCTGTGTAATTTAAAGGTGGAAATATGTAGATGGACTGCAGACTAATGTGATGATAAAAAGGTACAAAAGATCTCGTGTGTGTCTCTTCTCTACAGCGCTCTGCAGCATTCCTCAGCGTAATTGCAATTCGCAACTTTTAATAGTTTTTCTACGAAATTTGCTCAAGGTTGGAGCTTAATAACGTTTGAACGCCGAGTAAATTAAACCATTAAGATAAAACGTTTGAAATCCCCTGATGACTGTCATAATAAAAACAGCTGTTTAGTTTCTGACTTTAATCTGAAACTCATTTGAATTCAATCTTTTCACCGGCTGAATGTCTCTGTTTATTTGAATCTGTGTGGTGTCTGATGAAGACAGAATTTGAAGAAGTAAATGTTGTTTTTGGAAGAAAAATATAACACAGATTGGGAAGTGGGTGAACGATGCTACAGTCCTGTACGTGTGTAAGCTTCGTTAGCTATGAAATGAAACAGAGAAGTAGAGTTTAAGTTCATGAGCGCCATTCATTATTTACCTTTGTGGGCCCTGTATGTCCCCCCCAGTGCAACGCCCCTGCTACTTCGCTAATATTCGGCATTTTAGAGCTCTTTTCATGTCATATTGTTTAATTTTGAACCTGTCCTCAGCTCTATTTTATTTTTAAGTGAGGATAATTAGTTAAAAAGTTGTTTTTCAAATCAGATAGTGTTGTGTTTTTATTGAAATTGGCTTTCTTTTCAAATGAAAGTATCCTGCACTCGTCAGGGGGTACTTGGCTGCAGACATATTTGAAGAGGGAGATATTAATTCATAAAAAGTGAGTCTTAGTCTCCAAAAGCAGAGGGCAAAACCAGTTGAGTTCAAAGACGACAGTACTGTACTCGAAGTTTGAGTTGACTGCGGCTGAAACTTGAATAATGTGAGGGATAATTGCCCACTCCAAGACGTCCGCTTCTTGACTTGAGGAGACTTGAACCCTCTCCATTGTAAATTGAAGATGAGGGGTAATTATCAAAGATGGCGGAGGATCTTTGAGGACAAACACCTCTTCAGTAGCCAATGGAAATGAAGCGTGGCGTCTTAAAAGAGCTAAGATTCTCAGAAAGAGGCTCTGCGTGTAATTGGCGTTGAGAGGATGACGTTGAAGTGTTTGACATTACCTCCAAAGACCTGGACAGTTTCACTCGCTGCTCTGAACAGTGAAAAGGTCTCACAGTTCTGTACCATGCCTACATCTGCTCAACCCTACTTTCCATTAACTTCTGATTGTGCTCATCGTTCCTTATCCGCTCTATCTTGCTTTTCAAGGACGGAGGGCCAGTTTACTTTTATCAGAACAATCCAAACTGCTGCAGAAACAGGATCACCTTCATTCACATACATGCCTGTTTGTCCCCCTGGCTTATTAAAGGTGCAGATTGGAAACATGGTATAAATCACATTCATCAGCACCTCTGCATGTCTGTAACACCAGCCAGTACACCCTGAGTAAATTGACTTCATGCTATAGAATAAAAAGACTCGATGTTCATCTCAATAAGCTTTAGATTTTGGCATTTGTTTCTCACATATAGGACCAGTATGAAACAGAAGACACCTTTACCAAAGTGGGACTCAGATGTGGTTGCTTCAACAAGGAATCTTATTTATCGCATTTTCTGGACTGTAAGTCGCTCTTTTTTCATAGTTTGGCTGGGTTTTCGACTTATATTCAGGTGCGACTTATAGATATTAAAATATATAATTTCACATATAGTCTGACGACAGTCACGCAGAACAGGAAGTGGCACTTTGTCCACCTTCGGAGTTGGCAGAGTTGTTCAGAAGTGACACATAGGATGAAGAATTCGATAGATTTAGTGATTTGGAATGAGATCGAGAGTTTGGTCAACTTTTTTTGTTATGTTTTTTATAATATAGCTATCTGAATAACTGCTAATATGTTACGTTGACGAACCAGACACCAACTGAGTTCATTGTTTATTCTTCATGTAGCTGAATAACCATCAACGTGTTACGTTAGCATACCATACACCTATTCAGCCTGTTGTTCTCTGTTCAATTGTTATTATAACTTGGCTTTCAAGATGAAATTTCTGTTCTTGGTCTTGAATTTTGTAAAATGAATTTCCCCCAAAAAATGCAACTCATACCGGTACCTGTTTTTCTTCTTCATTTTGCATTTTTTGGCTGGTGCGACGTATACTCTGGTGCGATTTATACTCCGGTGCAATACGGTACTTTTTTACATCATATCTATTGAGTAAACATGCAAAGACAGATTTCTATCTAGTGCAGGATAAATGCATGTGTTAAACGTTATTTTTTTTAAACTATAAGCATCACATGCCATTGCATCATAGGTCCATATGAGGATAATGTGAAATCTGAGCAATAAAACACAGAACTGAGACTAATTAAAGAGCCATTTGCAGCCTGGTATTGCCTAAAGCCAGATTATCTGATTCATCTTAAAGAGCTGGTATTCCCATAACTATTAAAAAACATATTTCCACTCTGCTCTAAAGCAGTATACAGATATGATCTGCACACAACCAGAGCCCGACTAAAGAATGATGTCATTCGCCTCTGGCTACTGCAAACCCTTTTTTTGAACTTCCTGACTGAGCCGGACTCCACCACTTACTCAAATATTAACTCATTCTGCCATGCAGTGATCTCTCTGAAAGCATATTTTGAAAGTGAATTTTGTGTAATGTGATTCAAAACATCGGAGTGGAACCAAACTGTTTACTTTAAACACATAAAGACAATCAACTCTTTTCCTTTTCATGATTTGACAGCGAGGACATGCCTATTGATTCAAAGACCGAGCCTAGTTTTCCTGTTAGATTAATATCAATTCTATATTCATTGCAGTTTTTCTACAAAGAGCAGTTTCTTGTCATTTGACATGACAGTTTGAAAGCTTGAAGTGGTGCTTTGGAGGCTGTGAGATATTCACTTCTATACATTTTTCACATCCAGACATAACGTCCTTTGATAAATCGTGTCTTCTTCTCATCGAGCTGCCGTCTTTTGACAAATTTATTCATAGTGACATTTGAGAGAAAATGACAGCTGTCTTTCATTAATGCTTTTTCATCTGCTAATTCTCCAGTGTTCCTGGCTGTTTTCCAACAGGGTGAAATTGGGTGTCAAAGTCATTTTCCTAAGTGAGTAATTCCAGCTGACTGAAAGAAAAAAAGAAATGTAGTCTTCATTACGTCGTCTTGTCTCGTGTTATTGAAAGATGGAATGAGTTGGAGATGGATTTGACAGCAGCCTAAATGAGCTTCCAAAGTGCCGGGTGATCACGCTGAAAATACGCTGAAATTAGACCGAGAGTCGGGCAGAAAAGACATAGACTTCATGACAAATGGATGGAGCCACCATGACTTCACCGACAGTTTAAACTACTGACTCCTGAAGACTTGAGATTGGGATTTTGGATGATGCCATGTTGATTTTCTCAAACCAGAAGTGACTAATGAGGCTAGATGCTAAATAATCAAGGTAATACAGTCTACACCCCTCGCTAATCCACTGTAGGTTTTTCAAAGCTGTATTTGAGAGTTATTATCGCTTGGTTTCAACAGGTGGCGCTGTTGCAATAACAAAAATTTATAGGTGTCAAAAAAATAAATAACTAAAAGTTGGTTTTGGATGTGTGTAGGTAGGCTATGGTCTCATGTCCCTTTAAGGCGCTGTACTACGTCAGAGACGTGACTCCACCCCATCCAGTCTGTAACAAAGAGGGAAAGACAGGTGAGGAGATGGAGGACGGTTCAAAAGTTGGAGCGGCTGAAGTAGACAAAGTTAATGTGGGAGGGGGTGAGCAGCTTGTGGAGTAGTTATCGTCCATTTATCGTTATTGAAGTGAACTGCTCAATATATCGTGATATTGATTTGAGGCCATATCACCCAGCTCTAGTGAGACGTCAAAATTTGACATGCTAACAGTGCTACAGCATTTGACGTACAGAAAATACTTTGATAACTTTTGATCTTCAGTTTGTTTGCAGTACACTGTGTACCATCGGGTTAATAAAGCCATAAAACAATCACTATATATACTGAACAGTGACATAAATGACACAAACTTGAGCCAGAGATTTGCTTGAACTAAATTGGCCCATAGCGGCACAGCCACAGGTTGCCAAGAGGCTGCACCCCTAAATAAGAGAGAGTTTTACACCATTTTGATGGTTTAATTATTCAAATAAAAGTACCTCTTAACAAGAGTGAACTGTTGTAAATTTGGGAAATTTAATATGGGGCATAAATGGGGTTAACTCACTTTAAAACCGAGCCTCCAGTGGTCACATGAAGAACTGCAGTCTTTGGCACCCCTGCGCTGACCCCATTTATTGCCTTTTGGTATTTCATCAAGAATATGGAGCTGATTTTATGTAAGTATTTGAGTAATTCATTATCTTTAGCTTCATTTTATGATCCAGACTTTGTTTTTTAGCACACAAGTTATGGAGACACTTGGACCTGTCTCCGAGGAATATTAATAACACTCCTAAAACACTTTCTGCAGCCTTCTTGCAGGATTATGAAAATAAGTAACTGTCCTTCAAGCTGTGCACGTCCAGACTGCAAAGCTGAGAGTTCAGCCAGGACAGGCAGGACTAAAAAAGATGAAAATTCATGTTCTCCTTGATGTTTCAAAGATTTCATCTAGTATTCAGCTACAAGGAATCAGTAAGATAAGACATTTCTAAGAAGTTCCTGGTTTATTTAAGGATTCTTAATCACAGAGCAGACTCTTGTTTAAATATTTCTACCCTGGGAAAACATACCTAGACTTGTGGCACATAACAGTTGATTAAAATGAAAAACTTTGCAGCTTTTTCTTGCGGTTTGAGGATCAGAAATGTGTCTTTGATTGGATAAAAGTACGCTGGCGGAAGTAAAAGTGAAAACGTCTGTGTTCTTTAGACTAAAATGTCTTACTGAAGGTACACACAAGCGGAAAATCAAACTTCATACATAATTATTTTGTTGTTTCTGAAGTTTTCTAAAACACTTCAAAGGGTTTCTTTTGCATTTTACATTCATGCTCTGCATAAAACGCCTGTCAGAGTTTTAAAGATCCTCCTTTAGATGACTTTTTTCAGAGCTTGTTATCTGATGTGCGTCTGTTGTGTGCAGCAGTGAAGATGTTCACGTTATTCTGCGGCACAAGTTTACTTCAGAGCCTAGATGTCAACACCGTAAACTGACCAAAGCAGGAAAAATGAGGGGACAGATGCACAAGGGTTAACTGCTACAAAACGCTTTAAGATGACAGACCACCAAAAAGGATTTGTACTCTTCGATGTGGTCATGTTCTCACGGTGGAAAGAGATGAAAAAACGGTCAACAGATGTGCTTCTGTTACAGCAAGATGTCAACAACTACCGGCTCATGAAGCCCCGACTCCAGGCCCACAACCTTCAGCCTCTCCCTGATGCTTTCATTTAGCCTGAGGGTGTACAATTCAGCTTCTGAGTGTTTTTTAATCCAAATAAAAGTCTAACCTGCTGCACAAATATACAAGAGTGTTTACCTATGCTGTTGGAGCTGACATCCTCTCATGTTTGAGGCGTTTTAACCTCTGCAGATTGTGCAGACAGCCGTTTAGTTTCTTCAAACTTTGATCTTTCATTGGCTGTGTAAAGGATAATGTCCGGTGAATGGTTTGAATGCAAATTAGAATCATTATAGGGCAATAAAGACCCCGAAGCAAACCAGATGGATTTTATATTATCACTCTCCATGGCAACGGTTACTAATCAGCCTCTTTGCAGTTTGAGTTAATGATTAAACATTTCAAAATCAAGTGACTTGAGATAAAGTCGACAGGACTTCAGCTCTCTGTTGTCTTAGAGTTTTAGTACAATGGTTCAATTCTGTCTCAAGGATAAGTACCAGGCAATAGTATCCCTGCTGTCATAGGGTGACCATACATATCCTCTTTTTAGGGGGGTTGTCAGGCTCTGTCCGGGGAAGTTTATAAGATCCTTCCATGTCTGCGGTTTTGTACTTAAGTGTCGACTTACTGAGTTAGAAGCCCATAAAAGACACTGGATCCGACCCGAAAAACTCTCAAATTAACGTTATGTGACTCTGTGACTCCGCCCCCGTGTAGTCGTGTCCTCTTTTTGGGAAGTCAGAATATGGTCACCCTATGCTGTCACAACTCTATGGTGGCAATATTTACCTTCTCAGGTAACCCCCCCTCCATACAGACCTGCGGAAGACAAATGGCTTGTACATCATTTCCTAGATTAGCTTCACACCCAAAATATGGTCCTTTCCTCTTCCACTTCCTCCTGCTGCTTCAGTACAGCTCTTAGTCACCCAACAGTCAAATCCGAGCAATGCAAACCCTGACTGCGTTTGATCAAGAGGTAAAATCCTTGCAAAGAGGCGGACAACTTCAACGAGACAAAGTCCAACAGTCAAGACCGCCGTTAAGCACACCCCCATCAAAATAGTCAGAGCTGCAGGATATGAGCCACAAACTTGGCCTTCCTACCCTCACCTTCAAGTTTTCACGTCCTGTCGCTTTGTGAGGAGTTTGAAGCGGAAAAAAAAAGCGAAGTGTTCGACTAGGTCATTGAGGATTGGTCCTTAGCAATTGGCTTCTCCGTGCTGGAGCGTGTTTGATCACAAAGGACCTTGCCTAAAACCAGACTTTCACCTGATCCATGTTCAGTTTGCATATTCAATGTTTATAAATGAGACCCATCGTGGATTTCAGGGGTTGAGGTCCACATCTGTTTGGGATGTTGCACCCTGACTGTGGGAGGTTCAGTGATGTTTAACGCAGAGCTATCCACAAGTATGAGTATGTTAATGCCTCTAAACGTAAGGATTTAGTGCAGACGGGAAAAGAACAAACAAAAACCCTCATCCTCCTCCGTACATGAGGCTGAGTTTCCACGGGTGCAATCTTCTCCAAGTTTGAACTTTAATTTCAGTCACAAATGAGGAAAAACTGGATTACTTTCTATCTTACTCTTCATTACAGCATTCATCAGCTTTTGATGAAACAAAAGGGAATAAAGCGGCTCTCCAGCACTTACAGCCGTTTTTTTAAATTACCCTGATTATCCTGCGGGGAGCTGCTACAGTTACAGTAAACATTCAGAGTCTGTTATTCAGCCTCAAAACTCATATGGGAAATGGAGGGTAAAATATTTACTGCTGCCTTGTTAGCATCGTTATTCTCCAGCAATATACAGCATGAAAGGAGTAACTCACATGGTGTTTATTTGTTCCAAAGAGCCACATTTCTGTCGGTTTTTATAGGACTGGCATCACAATAACGCTGAAAGTAAAAAAAAAACACAAAGTTTACAGGGGAAAATTGGATTTCGGCTTCAGACAGACTCAGACGTTTCACAGTATTTTACTCCCAGATGCCCTTATTACAAGTGTTGCTGGGTTTAATCATGTTTATAATCAATATCCTAATCCTCTCATATGGCTGCAAATAAATTCATGTGACTTTATGCTTGAGGGCCACCGTAAAGGAATTAAAATAATGAAACTTCAGCCCTTCTCAGCCTTTGTTCTTATTATTATTATAAATTGATCACAGTGTCGGAGCACACGCGGGGTGAAATTGAATTGAGTTTCTCTCTGGAAGGAGAAAAGAACAAAAAAAAAAACAGTCGAAGCTGACTGGCTAATTTTGTAGTTGGCTTGAATCAAGATTGCCCCATTTGATCCATGGCAGAGTTTCAAAACAGTTTATCTCCCGAGCCGCTGTTATTTACGAGGCTTTGATTACTGGAATTGGAAGGACACAGACTCCCACCAAAAGCTGATTTCTGCACCAAACCCCCCTGACGCTGAGTTAGACTTTCACCTCCGCCGAAAGCTCCTCTGGTTTTTTTCGAAGATTGGAGACGATGGCCTTATCAGAGACTCTGCGAGGAACTTTATTAACCAAGATTCAGCTTTTTTATTCAGTGGCACTGCTTGGTTGGAGGAATTCTTCAGAAATGTCAGGATGCCAAGAATTACTCAGAGAAATGCAGAGGCGGGTTTCTTTCAGATGTGGAGGCCTTGAACTGATTTAAGAGACCGGTTCCTTTCTCAAATATTCCCAATTTTACAGATGTGTATGCAGACACAACAAAAAAATTGACATATTGTTTCCCCTTTAATCATGAGCTGTGAGTAGAAGAAGATTGCGAGAACAAGCAGGATGGCTGGGCTCTCCTTCAGATATAGTGCGAGAAGCGCGGTCATCTGGGAGTAGAGCTGCTGCTCATCCGCGTTGAAAGGAGTCAGAAGAGGTGGCGTGGGAATCGAAACAGGATTTCTCGCTGGTGAGGTGTTTAGAGCACGTCCCTTAAGTAGGAGACCACTGAGAGGACGCAGGACATGCTGGAGGGACAGTATCTCTCAACTAGCCTGGGAGTGACATTGACTTTTATGTCTGGTTTGAATGTGGAAAAACAAAACAAAAAAAAAGCCGCTCTGAGGTCGGAACTGTGACAAAGAGCCACTGGGGAAACCTGCCTGTCAGATTTGGGGTTTTTCCACTTATTCCCACTGCTGCTGTGTTATTTTGGTGAATCCAACAGTGAAGCGTCTGATATGAAACATCTCCAGAAGGTTAAATGTTAATTGAGTAGCTTACAGGAACAAGACCAGTAGAGTAGAAAGGCGACTGGAGGGCGAGATTAGCAGTATCTGATGACAGATTGGTGAAATGGACTCTGATTAGTGTTATGGAAATACAAACGTTCTGTATTTCTGCCAATGTGGACTAATTTTTGAGGCATCCCTTTGTGAGAATTTTCCCTTTCCGCTGTGAGATGTTTCCTCGTTCCTCTCCGTCTCTCTGTCACATGAATCCTTGTATCTTCTAAGGGTATCTTGAATCCCAGCGGGCCACAGAAGTAATCTGTTTTTAACTCACCAGCCCTTATCGTTGCCTCGCTGCAGCCGCCTGCCTCCTGCTCAGCTATTACCCGCCATTTCTCGTCACGTTACGCTTTAATGGTCCTTCTGTTTCACTTCATCACGCTGCCACCGTGCAAATGCACCACAAATGCACATTTTAATATCTGCACAAAGGAATAACATGGGAAGCAATCAAACTGAACAGGACCTGAAAACACTGGATTTGTGGCTCCAAACTGCAGACACGTGTATAACACAGCGACAGCTACACTTTACTAAGAGGGCTTGGATGTAAACCCTGAGTTACACTCTAGGTGCTGGACAAGAGCAGGTATTTTACTCAGATCTCCTTTAATCAGACACATGAAAAGTAAAAATGACAAGTGAATCATGTGTGTCTTATAATAGCAGCTTCCTGTATGCTCACTTAATGGACATCTCCTCCCAGCCTGAATAACCGATGAGCCTTAAAGCAGATGACTAATAGGTTTGGTAGTGGTTGCTATTGGAGACCAAGACCCATTTGATAATCTTAAGATTCAGAGATAGTCCAGCTGCATTGAGGATTTCATCACTCGAAGGCTGAAAGGTCCCCTCTGACGCACTTTCATCATTTCTAACCCTAAACCAGCTGCAGCGTTTTCTCCGAGTTACGCCACCTTCTCTTTCTCACCTACAAGCTACAAGATCAAGATGTTCTACAAGCACTCTGGCACAGCGTGTGTCAAACTCTACAGATGAAATACAGTGTGAGTTTGCAGAAATAGAACCTGAACAACCATAATTTCTATCCCCCCTTAGTGTCGTAATCAAGATGCATATTACAAGAACTCCTGACTTTCTAATTTCACTGGCTCCTGCATTCAATTATCTTAAGACAAAAACAAGAACAACTGAAGATTCTCCCTTAAAAGCATTTAAAAACATCTAAAATGAATAAAGTTAAACATTTAAACCCATGTTCTCCAGTTTGCAGCCTGTTAGCTCAGCAAACGCACAATCATACAGTCTGTACGAATTTGGATGACTCACTTTCATGCATGGACAAAAGTAGAAATAGAGCGTATGGCTCCTATAAAGACTTTAAAGTTGGTTTCTATCCGTTAGACCTTTCGTATAAATGTTGACAAAGTTCATTTGTTCACAGAGACGCCAAAATCAACTCATATTAACTTCCTCTCAGGGGCTTAAAGGTTCCCGAGCATTTCTGCACACGTTCACTTAAGACTACAAGATTTTTAGCAGTTCTTTTTTGAGTCCAACAGAATGTTTCTGCAAAATTTTAACCAATTTTTGAGAATTGATTTCCTGAGATGTTGCAGTTTTAAAATTGTACGTCAGACGTCTTTTGCCATCGTAAGGGCGTCTTGAAATCTAGTTGATAAAAAATTATTTTCTCACAGTAAAAAGTAGTATAAAGGAAATGCTTGAGCTGGTTTTAAGTTTCTATTTTTTAAATTTTACCTTCATTCAAACACAAAAGGATCTGCTGTCAAGTAAAAAAGCAGCCTTTGCTTTCAGATACATCATGATTACAAAGCCACGACTTTCCCCTGCCGAACATGAATACCTGCAGCAGCGTGATCCGTCACCCGGTGCCTGTCGAAAATACAGGACATGTAATGATTGGCTTCACGACGCAGTGAGAGCTTTACAGCCGCTGAAAGATGCAGAAGAGTTTAGAGGATTACGCCTTCGTCTGTTTGCAGAGTCCACTTTCTTGAATTTAAGGATGATAAGTTAATATCATTTCTCTTCAACGTAGTGAAAAAGAGAGCCTTCACATTCTCTCGTATTACAAAGTTTAAGGAGCTCTGCAAAAAGCAATTTAAGCAGCGGAAGTCATAAGCAGAGGGAAGCAGCAATCACGCGTCTTATAAACATGAAATGAAGTCAGAATCCAGAAGTATGATGTGCAACAACTGAAAATTGGCCCTCGGCAGAGCAACAGGGGAAATTTTCTTTCGATGTTGCGTTGCTAAAAGGTAATTTAGGCTAAATAAACTGGGAACTGTTATTGTTGGAAGAGGCACCATTACCTCCTTTCAATCATATCAACTTGCAATTCTGTGGAAGATGTAGAGAATAATGGTTTTTATAGGCTACATCAAATTGCTCCCTCCTCAGCTCGCCTGAATTCTCTCCTCTTCTCCACACATAGGTTGAAAGAGGGCGAATTTTTAAAAAGTGCCATGCCAGCTGCCTGTATTCAGGTAATTAATGCTTTCACTTTCTGCTGATGAGCTCCCTCAGTCACACACGGGAGGCCATCGTGAGGGAAAGGCTCTCTGTGCACCAAACAAAACACACACAGCCTGTTACATTAGTTTCTCTCCCGTCTCAGATCCCTGCCTTTATTTGTTCCCTCCCCCGCCGTCTGATCGTGCGGCGTTCAAAAATGTGTTTTTTAAACCTCTCCCCTTTCAGACGCTCCGGGAAAATAAATATATAAATGCACAAATATTGTTTGTCAAATGAGCAGCAGCTGAGGTCTGCAAACACGATAAGCTACTGGAACACACTTTCTTTGGATCAGGTACGCAGCAAATCTGAAAACCTGATCCTGAAAAGACAACCTTCAGAAAGGACCTACATTTTTGTGACATAATAGAAATAACCTGAAACTATCACAACAACTACCCAAAAGAGGTTGGATCCTCGTTATTATAAAGGGATATTTCAGAGTTTTTGAAGTGAGTTTATCACTTTACTCTGCTATCAGAAAGCCAACTTCTTTTGCACTATTTACAGACGCAACACAAATCATAAGTTTACATGCACGATTAAGTTAAGCTAGGATTATAGCTCAGTTAGCTGATTTAAGTGGACTACTGTCAGGACCACTTTAGTCAAAATTAATTATTTATTACAAGCGAACATTTTTACATTGGCGTTATGGTTCTGTTCTGAGAGTTCCCTGTCCTTCCATGTCTTTGCATGGAATGCCAAGGCTATAAGAGAGGAGAGCCCCTCCCCTCCCTTTCATGTCCATACATGAAGCGCCAAGGCAGAGAAAGCAGCAGCAAATAAATGTGATTTAGATAAATACATTAATCGTTTAACAAAAAGGTGGGTTTCTGTGAAGTGAATTTGCCGTCGGGGATGAATAAAGTTGTCTAAATCTGAATCTGAATCTGAAAATAATGCAGGTCAAGTGTCACATCAGCTGCATGCCTGGACTAGCTCCTTTGGTTTTCTCTGTTAAAGTGACTTTGCATCGTCTACATGCAGTTTTAGCAGATTGTACCCATAAAAACTTTGATTAATTGATATTTTTTATAATTCAAACAGGATCACAAACCTGTCTTATGATCAGGCTCTTTCTCTGCTGAGACAAAGGTGAGGGAACCAGTTCATGGCGAGAAAATCAAGAGTTAAAAATGAGGAAACCAGACACATTTAATGTAAACTTAAGAATAAATGAAAGCTTTATGGCTCCGTCTGAGGCGATAAATGGATAACAGGTCCTGCCCGAGCGAGCGAGCGAGCTGCTCAGTAAAAAACAATGATGGAAGAATACAATATGATCACAGGAGCGAGGCAGGGTGACTGATTTAAAACAGCGTGGCGTGCAGCACCAGCAGTGGCATGATAAACTCTGAATCGACTGTGACACGATTATGCTGTTTATTTGCATTTAGATAGTTTTATCTGCTCTGCAAAGTTGATTTGGACGTGTTCAGCTTGTCTTCCCAATAAGAGCATTAAAGGACATTTCCACGTCTCGTGACAGAGTAAGATAAGGATTTTATGCAGAATTATGCAAAGATATAGCAGGTGCTGTAGGATTACCATATGGGTGTGTGGTGCTTGATGAAAATTAAAAAAAAAAACCCCGACTCTGAGGCATCAGCAGCTATTAGAGGTGAGCTTTTAACAAGATGAGGTGCTTTCAGATCAATGCTAGAAAAGACAGATCATCACTGAGACTGAAGGATAACAACAACAACAACACATTCAGGTGTAAAAATAGAAACACATAACAGCTAATATCACATTTAAATAAACTTAACTATGCAGTTTAAACTCAAGCAAATGTGTCTGTTTCCAAAACCAACCCAGGTAACAAACTGCAGATATCTAATGTGTGTATTTAACCAACTATGTCGACATGAATGTTGGCAGGTTTCACACTCGAATCACTGAATTTTCACACCCTCAATCCACAAAAGGGACTAAAGCTGAATAAATAATGGATAGAGCTTCTGTGAGGTGCACAACTTTCTTTTCAAAGTCTGTCGTTTGGCAGTTTTAGATTTCCTGAGCCAGGAAACTGTCAGAGGTTTGCAAATAAAGGTATCAAAGCTTTACAGGATCTACCCAAAGCTGAATCAGATAAGACCCTCTTATTTTCACACGGGATAAGACTGAATGAAAACTTCGCTGGAGTCTAAAAAAAAAAAAGTTTTGTCATCATTAATTTTTAATTTATTAAGAGCTAATTCACAATACACTAATGACACTCCAGAAAAAGAGCAGGTAATACCGGATAATAATTAGCGTGGATATTTCTCCTCTACGCTCCAATAAAACGTAATTTATCCAAAAATTTGAAGTTGTAATAATTTGGTTGCACAATAAACCGCAAAGCAAATCAAATAACTTCTCCAGAATTTTCATGTAAAAGTCCCAAAAATGTAACAGACGACATCCAGCTGACAGAATTATTTAAGACTTTAAAACTTAATATTATTTTATCAAGTAAGTGATGTTAAGTTCTTCTGTACCAGGCTGTCTGACTTACTTAGACTTAGTTCCTCCCGTTCTTATTGGTACACTGGCCGACGAGTCCCCTCCATTTGCTCCGGTCGCTAGCGACCCTTCTTGCTCCATGCCAGCTGACTCCCATCTTGCTCAGGTCTTCCTTGGTTGTTTGTCTCCATGTCTTCTTTGGCCTCCCTCTCTTGCCACACTTGCCGGTCTCTCTCTTGGCAGTCGAAGTACATGTCTGGTCATTCTATTTCTCCTGTCAGAGACGATGTCAGACAAGGGTGCTGCACCTGCCCTTCACATCATCTCTTCATCGGTGATGTGGTCTCTCCATGAGATCTTTAGGATGGATCTGAGGCACCATCGATAGAAGACATCCAACATGTTGGTGATGCTGGCTGTCTTCGTCCACGTCTCACAGGCGTAGGTCGCTGTAGGGATGTCCACCGACATATAGAGGTGTAGCTTTGTGGCCGTGGTGATGGATTTCGACAACCAGATGTTCCGGAGTCGTTGGTAGACTCCTGCAGCTTTGCCAATTCTGGTTTGTACGTCTTTCTCCACATCTCCAGTATTTGAGATGTTGCTTTGGAGATATTTGAAGTTCTCGACGTACTCCATGTCTTGTTGGCCTATGGTGAGTGCTGGAAGGTGTTGATGTTGTGCGACGGTCATGGCCTTGGTCTTTTCTTGGCTTATACATGGACCGACTTTTGCTCCTTGCTCATGCAGGTTGTTTGTCAGTGTACCGGAATGACTCCTTCTTGTCGTTTCTGCAACATGCTGTTTTTTTATGGGGTGAGGCTGTTAACCTCAGGCCAAACCCCCAACCTGGAGGACCGGGCGCTGACTTTTGTCTGGCCTCTATCCCCGAAACCTTTACGGCATGGTTAAACCTGCCAGGGGTGTGATTCCCCCACTGGTATAGCTTTCAAGGGTCACTGAGACACGCAAGCCTCTCCACCAACAGCAAGGTATCAGCACAGGAGAGGGCCCAGGCTGTGAATAAGTTTAAATCTGCTGTAAAGTTGGACCTTGCAACATGGGGCATGAGGCATTTTTGGCACCAGCCTCTAGTGGCCACTTGGAGAATTGCAGTATTTGGCACTTTTGCATTAGCTTTATATTTTAGCTCTGAAATGTTCGACTCAATCAATGCCAAAAAATACCACCAAGATTTTCCTCCATTCTGCAAAAGGAGTATATGATATACGTAAAACCAGCTTTATGATATCTCTGCTCAAAAGCTCATTTCTCTCCCCCTTTTCTCTCCTCCTCACCCCGGGGCTCGTCCCTCTCTCTCGCCTCATTAATGATGTCAGAGTATGGATAACAGTGTGATTATTCCAGCCTGGCCGGAGTGCTCTTTAGCGCCTGTGTGTCACATCTTCAATGACTCTTGATTGCAGGGATTTAGCCTGAAGGGGACTAAAAGCACATCGCCTGTGTGGTTTTTTATTATCATGTCAGGAGACAGGGAGGAAGAAAGGCCTCGCGCTATTCATCAGGGGCATTCAGACAAAGCGTATTTAACCACAAAAGAGGAGAGAGAGGAGCCAGGCAAATAAGGACAGGGTAAAAATTTCTCCCGCCTTGACAGACTTAAGTAGCCTATTACATGATGGCGAGGCTTTCATCTATTACTTCAAGGAGGCAGAGAAGATAATCACCACTGTTATTCCCCATCTGATGTGCCCCAAGCCACCTATTACCCCGTGGCCTGCAGCACTCTCTGCTGAATACAGAGAAGAGGAGAGCGAAGGGGGGGCTCAGAGGAGAAATCTCTGCTGTATATGAAGAGACGTCGGAGGTTTTAGAACCAAAAAGAAAGACGCGGGTCTTGTCTGGAAGGATCTTTGTCTCTGGGGGGGTCTTTCTTTTATGTAAAGTGAAACATGAAAACTGGAGCTACAGAGGGAGATATTTGAGAGCTTTAAAATATGATAGAGCTTTCTTAATATAGGATAGCACAGACGTGACTTTTTCATGATTTTCTGCACACGACAGATAAAGTGAAAAGCGAGATTCTTTGGCTCCACCCACAACGTATCGTCATGTGACAGTCAGCATTATCTCGCTTTTACCATCTTAGCTAACTTTAGCTCCCTGGTGTTGTGTTTACATCATAGAGGAATAAAATTATTTAATAACTTCATTTGCACGTTTGGATGTTCGGATGTATTGCGTTTACTTGTTAATTTGTGCGACTAATTTGGATTCGGATTTTTCTGATCTCATGAGGCGATTAAAGCGTGATAAAGGCGTCGTAAATGAGGGTCATTCGTTTGTGGATTTAGCTCACCCAGGATTTCAACCGCATCTGGAATGGCTCCGATCTGGAACGGCGGGGATTTTCGCCGTACGCCAATTCCCACTGGATCTGTTTGTGAGGTGAATTCCGTGGCGGATTATAGACAGCAGGAATCATGAAAACTCACAAGAACCCGCGGATTCACGTGCAATCACGCGATAAGTTGTCTCTAACCACAGAGGCTAACCATATAAGCAGTAGATTGTGTCTTTGCAGACGAGGAAATCTACTTCTCGACCTCTAGAATCAACATCTCCTCATCAATGGTGTCATCAGGGTGAAATGCTGTCTATAAACGTTTGACTTGTTCATCCTCACCCATTTGCACAGTGTTAAATTCGATCCTCCTGAAACACAGAGTGTTTTATTTTAAAAAGAAGCCGGATGTTTTATTTTGTGTCTGTGCCCGACTTCCTTTCAAGCACGGGGTTAATCTGTGCTGAACTTATCCGGCATGCTCGGGCGTCCGGAAAAAAAATGAAACTCTTGCGATCAGCTGAGGAGTCCGGCAATCCTCAGTGGAATGGAAAGAAGCCGGTAGAAATTATCACATTAACTTGAATAGTTACGATCAGCTAGGATCGGCGGATACGGCCTTTTCGTAGCCGTTTGGTATGCAGTGGAAATTGGGGGTCAGCGTGTGCCACTGTCCAACAAGAACTCCTGCATCCTGAAGACGAGACGAGCTGTAGATGCAGAGACAGTATCATTTAGTAGGAGTATCAATGTGAGCACGTTTAAAGGAGATTTTATTTCTTTTCGTGCTTCACTTTAGCAGGAAATGTTCCTTATAGTGTCAGCGCGTGTTTCCGCTTTAATAAAATGATGTTATTTGATAAATTTTCATAAGCTCCTGTATGAGGCTTAATATTGTGATAAATTGGCATTGAGTGAGTCATGAGCCTGCCCCTCATGGATTTAATCTTATTTCTATGATGTTTAATTTTCCAAAAGTTTCTGTGATGAATGGACGAGAAATAAAATAACAGATACAATCTTATTTAAATTCCTTATCTGCAGGTTGTTGATTAACTAATTCGTTTCCCACCTTTAATTAGAATATAAATAATGCAGAGACAGAGGCATCACCAATGCAACATCACCGCTCCATTAATCCTCCGCAGATTACGGGTTTTATTTTCATTATTGAAGGTATCAGCTGATCATTTTAAATTCTGGTCGTTTAATTATAAAAAATGACCACAGGAGCTTCCCAAATGTCACCTGAAATCTCTAAACCTCCTCCACGCTGCCTCATCATCATCTTCCATCATCACCTGAATGGATGTTAATGAGGTTAACGAGAGCGGGCCCGTCCTCGCCACCACCGCCGCCGTCCTGCTACGCCGTTTGTCCCCTATCAGCCGCTCCAGCCTCGCTCCAAAGACGCTGAGATATGAGAGAAGGATCATTTATTGGGTCATTAGTTCTACTAATCAGCTTTCTAATTACAGGCCATTACATTTGGGTGTCTGATGTATCCCCTCTCCCCAGGACCTCGGACATGATGCTCTCTGACACTCTGTCTCACACAAACAAGCAGCTGCCCGCCGGCTCAACATCGGAGGCGTTAACCTCGGGATGAGATCTGTTTTTAGACAAATGGATGCCAGCGTGTGCTCACATCAGGCATGATTGGACTAAGTTCTGTGTTGTTCCGAGTTCATCTTTGAACTTAATAACCTCTACAAGCATCTGAAAGTGAGAGTCCGAGACTCCTTTCAAGCGAGCTGCGGGAAAGCTTATTAAAAATGAGGCAAAGTGCGGCACAGTGGGCGAGGTGTTAAACTTGAAACCTGGTTTAAAAGGTCCTCCTCGGTGGTGTTGCAGCCAGTTTATTAGACAGAGGCACTTTGAGAGCGCAGAGCTTTGTTCTGGGCTTTAGTATCAGCATGTGTGGCAAAAATAGTCCCAGAAAAACCGGCTCCATGAAAAAACAGCTTGTTTGTGGACACTGAGTCGAGATTGTTTTTGCAGATCTATGTTTTGATTTCTACGTCAATCTGAGCAGCATGAAAACACAAGCAAAGATCACATGATTTATTTTGTAGTCTTATTATGTAACTTGGGTGCATAATGTGGGTGCATGCATGTGACCACAGGAAGTAAGGGCGACTCGGAGGGATGCTTTGAGTCTGTCTGCAGAACACTAACGAGTACGAGGGACCGCACACTGCATGAGTGGATGAACATTATTTGTCTGCAGCAGCACATTAACGTGAAACTCTGCCTTCAGTTTCACCATGGAGGGGTATTAAAGAATAAATGCATTTTCCCAGGAAAATCATAGTGTTGGGTCCATAAAAAAAGGTCCACAGCATTTTAAAATTGGGCAAAACGAGCGAAAGATCAGACCAGACCAATGCGGTGCCATTATTTTAACATTACGTGTTGCAACAGAGTGAGCTGCTGTCACTTATTCCAACAAAAATGCAATCATTTTCCTGTCAAATCACCTCGTCTGTCAAATAACTCGAAAAAAGAGTGAAAAAGAGCAAAATCGTACTTTTTTTAGAAAATGTCATAAATTTGTAAAAATAAACGTGACTTTCTACAAACACAACAAAGATGTAAATATACAAAGGAATTGATTTTAAGATTAGCAAGAATAGTTTTAAACTTACAAGTATAAAGTCACAAATTCACAAGAGTAAAGATTTTCATTAATAGACAAAAGTTGCTAACTCAAAAGTATTCAAACTAAAGTTGCAAATTTATAAGAATGAAGTCTGAAAATTGTGAATAAATTGCTGCAAATTCTAGGGAAGGAAATTTTTATTTGACGAAAAATGACAAAAGTAATTTAGTCGTCAATTCGTGAGAAAAAAAGAAAAAATTCTCAAGAATAAAACTTTTAAGTACACAAGACAAACTTTTATTATCGGTAAGGTTACAGAATGAAAAGAAAGAAGTCACATATTAAAGTTACAAACTTACAAAATAAAGATGCAAACTTACAGGGAGTGAAAGATTTATAAGAATTTAGTCTTTTTGAGAAAAATTCACAAAACTAAGTTTTATGTTCTCAAAGGTCACAAGTTTTAAAGATAAAAGTGCAGATTTATCTTAAAAAATTCTGTTTGAAGACCTCTGACCTCTTCTGTTTCTTTAAAGATACATAAACGTCGTGTTTTCTGACATTTTCATCACCTTTGAATTTTGTGGATTTTTAAGTAAGATATGAATCAAGCTTGATTGTGGTATTAAGTCCTTGGTCAGCCTGTATGTTATTGTTATTAAGGACAATTATATGTTGCATTTAAAGTATAATGGCGCTGCTCTTGTCAGCTTTTGGGTAGTATTGACAAAATAACTCCACATACTCTGGAATATATGATAAAGACAGTATTTGAATGCAGTCCTC